CACGAAAGCTTATGCTCTAATAAATTTGTTAGTCTCTAAGGTGCCACAAGTCCTCCTGTTCTTCTTTTTGCAAAGCTTTAAAGTCATTATTGAGCCAATCAATACCACAGGCAAGTTAGCATTGAGCGCTCATCTCTTATTTTCATTGAGTGATTTTTAGTGCTGGTGAAAGATGTTGAATGACTGAAGTCCTCTCTGTTCACAGACCCAATATACCAGAAGTGGCAACAGCACCAACTTCCCCACAGCTCTGCCAATTTCCTGTGACCATGCTCTTGGACAGACCACCTCTGAGGTGCGAGGGCAGTCTCAGTCCTTATGCCCATTCAAGTCTTGGATTTTCATCTGAGCCTGTCCTCAGACATGCCAATTAGTGTCAACTCTGAGGTGATATTAAGTTGTTGCTGCTTCTTTCTTGCCTCATTGCTTAAATTGTCCATTTTTAAATGAAAACTTGAGCCTCGAGGGCTGGGTATCAGTTTTGGTTGAGATTGAAAGCGTTTTTGATCCATATAGAAAAGCTTCAGTCAATTTGTTCATATTCAGCTAGCTGTGGTAAGACGAGCAGGGAAAACTGGCGAATGCACAGTAATAGAGTGCAGCACTGCTTATCTATTCTTGGGCAGTCAATTGTTGTTTTCCTACCCTAAGGCAATCGGCTTCAACACAGGACAGACAATTACTCACTGGTTTCTTTAACTTCTTCCTGAAGTAATCGTATTTCTGTTTGAACTCTCTGGAATAGGGAACAGCCTGAAAGAGAGAAAATTATAAATACGCATAATTGAATATATCATGCAATCTGACGTACTGTAACCCCTAAAATGTTAGTTAAAAATACCCAGCAGTTTAAAAACATGTTTTCTTAGTCAATTGTAATTTGCTCTAAATATGTATATTGCAAATAACCCTCGCACCAACACAACAACTATCACCTGAGGATCCGAAAACACTTCAGGAATATTAAAACTTAACCCCCTCCTCAGGAGGTATTATCCCCATATTACAGATGGGTAATTTGAGACCCAGTGTTTCACAGCACCATATCATTTGATCCCAATCTTCTGCTCTAACCACTACACAATCCTCTTTTTTCTGGTACTAGCAACAGAAAGCGTGAAAGAACACCCGAAAAAAGGTAAGAAAAGAAAAAAGCAGGACTGATTCTCAGGGCTCACTTGTCATATTAGGAAGGCACAGGTGTCCTCATAAGATCTTTTAAATTATTTTTAATTATTTGTCATAGCTCCTAGAAGCCCCAACCGAGATTGAGGAACTGAGGTGTACAAACAGTACAGGACAATAGACTGCAAGCTCTTCAATGCAGAGAATTTCCTGATGTTAATGAGCGTCTTAGTAAAGACTTCAACAGACTTTGAAAGGAAGTATTCTTATCTCCCTTTTACAGAATGTAAACGGAAGTTAAATAGTGTTTAAAAAAAAAAAAGCGAACCCCCTTAAAATGGCCCTGAGAGCACATCATTATGTGCTGACAAAACTGATATTTGTGATGGGTGCTCTTTGTGCTCCAACTAGTGCAGAATGGAGAGCGGGGCAATTAAGGTAGATGAGGCTTTTTGTCCATATAGGCAGAGGCATGATATCAGCATGGAGAGTTCCCAAAATGATAGACTAGATTGGTCAGAACTCACTGCTAGCACAGGGCTTTGAAAGATACGTACTTTTGTAAGGTAACTTTTTGCAACTTCAAAGGCTAGAAGGAAAGAAGAAGGGTAGGAAATGGGGAATCGAGTAAAATACAGTTTGGGTATTGAAATCCATCAGTTTTTGATATTCCCAGGCCTGAAATTCTCTTAATAGCCCTATATGTAAGAACCAAACTTTTGGATTGTATGTGCGCCAATAAGAATGATTATAAAATTTAAAATTGCTAATAATGTTAATAATAATACAAATAAAATGCACTTGTATAACTCCTTTATTCCAGGTATTTTAAAGCATTTTATAAATTAAATTAGCTCACAACACCCAAAAAGGGAATTAAGTGACATTGTATAATATCTAGGGTTCACGTGAATCACCACTAGAACGCAGACACCTCTGGAGAAGAACGCATTTGCTGTGTGACAGTCCACAGCAACACCACGGAACAATTTTAGAACAGAAATGAAAAGCTAAAAATATAAGAAGGAATTTAGGTTGGAAGAAAATAATTAGAGTTGGAATCTGACAGCACCTTTGTGGGAAATGACAAGATCTTTGAGAATAAATTTATTTATTTGGGTTTATAAATGTTTAAACAAGTCCCCTCTTGAGATTCTAGGAATTTTTCTACAGAAAATGACAAAGCCAAATGAAATCAAGTAGAAGCTCACTCCACAGCAGGATGTCATGACGTCTCTGACACAGCTCAGTAAAAAAAGTGTTAGCTTCACAGTGCAGTCTTTCTCCACTCTCCCACCAAAACTCCATACCAGGAGGCAATAGATCCCTTAGGGGAGGATCTATTAATGGAGATTCTTTATGTCCTAGTAAGGAGGAGAGGATAGAAGATGATAAAATAGGGGTAGGATCTGATAAGAAACAGTCAAATAAAAAAAAGAGTCCCAGTCAATTACATACGTAATGGCAAACAGCTAAAAAGTGACAAGTTTTTAAAAGTGCTTATATAGAAATGCTAGAAGTCTAAATAATAAGATGGGTGAACTAGAGTGCCTCATGTTAAATGAGGATATTGATATAACAGGCATCACAGAAACTTGGTGGAATGAGGATAATCAGTGGGACACAGTAATACCAAGGTACAAAATATATTGGAAGGACAGAACAGGTCGTGCTGGTGGGGGAGTGGCACTATATGTGAAAGAAAGCATAGAATCAAATGAAGTAAAAATCTTAAATGAACCCAAGTGTATCATAGAATCTCTATGGATAGTAATTATATGCTCTAATAATAAGAATACAGCAGTAGGGATTATTACTGACCATCTGACCAGGATGGTGATAGTGACTGTGAAATGCTCAGGGAGATTAGAGAGACTATACAAATAAGAAAAACCTCAATAATAATGGGGGATTTCAACTATCCCCATATTGACTGGGTACATGTCACCTCAGGACAGGATGCAGAGATAAAGTTTCTTGACACCTTAAATGACTGCTTCTTGGAACAGCTAGTCCTGGAACCCACAAGAGGAGAGGCAATTCTTTATTCCAAGATATGAATATAGCTGGACCACTTGGTAATAGTGACCATAATATAATTAAATTTAACATCCCTGTGGTGGGGAAAACACCACAGCAGCCCAGCAGTGTAGCATTTAATTTCAGAAAGGGGAACTACACAAAAATGAGAAAGTTAGTTAAACAGAAATTAAAAGGTACAGTGCCAAAAGTGAAATCCCTGAAAGCTGCATGGAAACTTTTTAAAGATACCATAATAGAGGCTCAACTTAAATGTATATCCCAAATTAAAAAACATAGTAATAGAAGTGCCACCGTGGCTAAACAACAAAGTAAAAGAACCAGTGAGAGACAAAAAGGCATCCTTTAAGAAGTGGAAGTTAAATCCTAGTGAGGAAAATAGAAAGGAGCATAAACTCTGGCAAATGAAGTGTAAAAATAGAATTAGGAAGGCCAAAAAAGAATTTGAAGAACAGCTAGTCAAAGACTCAAAAAGTAATAGCAATTTTTTTTTAAAAAGTACATCAGAAGCAGGAAGCCTGCTAAACGATCAGTGGGGGCCACTGGACGATTGAGAAGCTAACGGAGAACTCAAGGATGATAAGGCCATTGCTGAGAAACTAAATTAATCCTTTGCATCAATCTTCACGGCTGAGGATGTGAGGGAAATTCCCAAACCTGAGCCATTCTTTTTAGGTGACAAATCTGAGGAACGGTCCCAGATTGAGGTGTCATTAGAGGAACAAATTGATAAACTAAACAGTAATAAGTCACCAGGACCAGATGGTATTCACTCAAGAGTTCTGAAGGAACTCATACGTGAAATTGCAGAACTACTACTGTAGTGTGTAACCTATCATTTAAATCAGCTTCTTTACCAAATGACTGGAGGATAGCTAATGTGATGCCAATTTTTAAAAAGGGCTCCAGAGGTGATCCTGGCAATTACAGACCAGTAAGCCTGACTTCAGTACCAGGCAAACTGGTTGAAACTATAGTAAAGTACAAAGCTGTCAGATACATAGATTAACATAATTTGTTGGGGAAGATGTAAAGGGAAATCATGCCTCACCAATCTACTAGAATTCTTTGAGGGGGTCAACAAGCATGTGGACAAGGGGGATCCAGTGGATATAGTGTATTTAGATTTTCAGAAAGCCTCTGATAAGGTCCCTCACCAAAGGCTCTTAAGCAAAGTAAGCTGTCATGGGATAAGAGGGGAGTCCTCTCATGGATCAGTAATTGGTTAAAAGATAGGAAACAAAGGGTAGGAATAAATGGTCAGTTTTCAGAATGGAGAGAGGTAAGTAGTGGTTTCCCCCAGGGATCTGTACTGGGACCAGTACTGTTCAACATATTCATAAATGCTCTGGAAAAAGGGGTAAACAGTGAAGTGGCAAAATTTGCAGATGATACAAAACTACTCAAGATAGTTAAGTCCCCAGCAGACTGCGAAGAGCAACAAAAGGATCTCACAAAACTGGGCAACAAAATGGCAGATGAAATTCAACGTTGATAAATGCAAAGTAATGCACATTGGAAAACCTAATCCCAACTATACATACAAAATGATAGGGTCTAAATTACTGTTACCACTCAAGAAAAAGAACTTGGAGTCGTTGTGGATAGTTCTTTGAAAACATCCACTCAATGTGCAGGGGCAGTCAAAAAAGCTAACAGAATGTTGGGAATCATTAAGAAAGGGATAGATAATAAGACAGAAAATATCACATTGCCTCTATATAAATTCATGGTACACCCACATCTTGACTACTGCATGCAGAGGTGGTCACCCCATCTCAAAAAAGATATATTGGAATTGGAAAAGGTACAGAAGAGGGCAACAAAAATTATTAGGGGTATGGAACGGCTTCCGTATGAGGAGAGATTAATATGACTTTTCAGCTTGGAAAAGAGGTCTATAAAATCATGACTGGTGTGGAGAAAGTAAATAAGAAAGTGTTATTTACTTCTTCTCTAAACATAAGAACTAGGCGTCACCAAATGAAATTAATGGGCAGCAGGTTTAAAACAAACAAAAGGAAGTATTTTTTCACACAACACAGTCAACCTGTGGAACTCCTTGCCAGAAGATGTTGTGAAGGCCAAGACACTAACAGGATTCAAAAAAAGAACTAGATAAGTTCCTGGAGGATAGGTCCATCACTGACTAAGAGCAGGGATGGGAAGGGATGGTGTCCCTAGCCTCTATTTGCCAGAAGCTGGGAATGGGCGACAGGGGATGGATCACTTGATGATTACCTGTTCTGTTCATTCCCCCTGGGCACCTGGCTTTGGCCACTGTCAAAAGACAGTATGCTGGGCTAGATGGACATTTAGTCTGACCCAGTATGGCCGTTCTTATGTTGTTATGATACTAACTCAAAAGTGTGCCCTCTACTGAATTACCATCAACATGCATAACACTGAGGTGGGTCCGGAAAGTCTCCTATTCAAGAACTTACCCAGCTAGACTCTGCTTAGATTATACACGTGAAGGAAACACAGCACAAACTGGCACGGGTGCAAAAACATAAGGGAAATTTTTAAAGCCAACCCTTTTAGCTAGCGGCACCAGACCCGAAAGCATTCATTTGTACCAGCCTTAAGACAGGGGTACAGCCAGAAGACATCAATCAAAGCTCTTCCTCACCATCCTTATGGTTGTCAAACCTCAAATAGAAAAGTCATGTACAAAAAACCTTGAATTAAAAAAAAAAAATAGACTGCAGTAATGGTAGTGGAGCAGCTGCAATCTGCTCCATGCCAATCAACGTGTGTGTGCGCGCGCGCGCGCTTAGCTCACCATTCTCCCTCAGATTCCATGCACAAAGGAAATGTACTTGAGGTTAGGATCAGCGAAGAGAGAGAGAGAGAGAGAGAGAGAGAGAGAAAGAAGAGGGCACTTGGCCTTGACCGATCATAATAAAAAGCAAAAAATCATTTCCTGTCACCTCATTACTTTCCTCTGCCCTGCTGCTTCCACAGGACAAAAGAGTAGATCTATCAAAACAGTTAATGCAAATGAGCAGCAATTCTAAACATTTGAAGTATATTTTCACGAGGGCAAAAGAATAGTTCTGAACTCCAAAATGTCGTGAGAGCTGCATATTCTTCAGCCATTCCCAGCTGCATCACAAATGTCAAATGTTGGTTCAGGACATGCGTCTGGGGGAGAAGAAGGTTTCAGATTGTCTTGAAGTGGGTTTGTAATTGGCTGGATGTGGGTGTAAACTGGGAGGTTGAAATATGCCTGTTAGGCTGTCTTCCTTGTGGAAGATGAGATGTGAAAAGTTGAAAAAAGCATTATCCCCTGATGAGCATAAGAATGTGACTTTATTACAGGAGTGAAGGAATCTTTTGGCATACCTATTGTCTAAATACCTTACTCACACAATGCAATATCACTTTAGGGAATATACGTACTTTATATGTTTGTAATAGTGCCCAGATACTATGATTATGCCACCGGCTACTAAGACAGTCACCACTTTTCCATAATGGCTAGGTATAGCTTTCTTTTTGGTTAGCAATACATCTAAATAAATGAACACTAACTTTGCAGCTCCAGAATTCTGTCAACAATTATCACCCCGATAAATGATGAATGTGAAGAGCTCCTCTACCCTCCCGCCCCACCTCCTTCACCACCGCATGCTCAGGAACTAAGCACAATATAGTGCTTCCACAGCAATCCAAATCCCTAAGAACCCAAGAACTGAAAACCCAGATTAGACATGAGTCCTCAGCATCGCACAAGGTTGCTAGGCTCACATAAGCATTAGACTAAAAAACTCCAACATCCTAGTCTCAGCGTTTCTTGCAGGGTCCTTAGAATTGAACGACTTTACGCAAAAGACATTCTTGGTGACCACGCATATGGCATTTGAAAAAGATCGGCCTATTGAGTGCATTAGTGATTAGTTGGAATTTTTCTAATGCAGTAATAAAATTGCACCTTTCAGTATGCTCAACTGGTAAGTTAAAAGTAGATACTATCTGCTTTTCAATATACTGTCTGGTTCCTGTTAAGGGCTAAATGATGTAGACTTAGCAACATCAGATAGGTACCAACAGCAAATGGACCAACCATTTAAGAAATACCATTAATCTGCCTTTTTTTTTTTAAACAGATAAAAAGACAAGATGGCCAAAGAATATTATGATGCCAGGGCTCGATTCTGTGCCACTGAAGTCAAAGTTTTGCATTGAATTTCAATGAAACAGGATTTTTGAGAAAAATACATAATTACCTACAATCCATGGTGAGTAGGAGGGAAAGGAAGAGTGAACAATGAGAGAGGGTAACTTGGCAAGGTAACAGACTGTATACAAACTTTGTTTCTAACTCAATTCTTGTTCTTAACCTGATGCTCAACTAGTATAAATTGGCATAACTCCATTTTAGCCCAAGTTACACCAGCCAGTGATCTGGCCATGTATCATGCTTTTTTTATTTTACTTTTTCGATTGTCTTCTGTTTATTTTGATAAATGTTGAGGCCCCAGAGCAGTAGATGAACCAGAGGAGAAAGTTCTGGAAAACTATCTGAAACATGGCTGAGGAAGGGTTAGGAGAGTGAGTTAGCCTGACACACAGGAGAGGGAGGATGTTCAAGGCATAGGGAATGGCATGAAAAACAGGCATTGAGTCACAACTGGAAAGTGAGAGCATAAAGTGTAGAAGATAAGACCTGCGGTGCAGACAGAGGCATTACTGTGCAGAAGTTTGAAGGAATGGATATGCAATTTCAGCTTGATGGAGGAAGGGCTAGGAAGCCAAAGAAGAGTCGCTGAGGGAATGGAGGATTGTTATGTTCTAGGCCATAGTAGAGGAAGAGGATTTTAATATAAGAAAGATGGGTGAGGAAAGCGTGAGGGAGGCCAGAGGAGGAGTCCTGACTGCATGCTGACAAAATATATCCAGATTTACACTTTTACTGCCTTTTTCTTGGATGCCAAGAGCAAGTAAGTAGCATCTCTTATGCTGTATTAAATTGGATATGGCCTCTGCACGATTTCTATCCTGGAGTCTCATTACCATGACGTCTGTTTCCTACAGTGAAAAATCTGCCTTGGAAAAGTACTTTTTCTACCTAGGGATGATCTTAATAATGAATATCCTTTAGAGACTAACTCCATGGTTTCAATTTGGTGGAGATGGTTTCTTGTTGTAGCTGCAGGAGAACGGAAGCAGTGATAAATGAAGGGGTTTTAGCAAGTCAAAGCTGCAAATGTCCATCTGTTAGCCATACAGTATCCGAACAGATGGGATTTTCATAAGAGGAAATAATGCAGCAAATAATACGCTCTGATCAGTTATCTAAGATAAATCAGTGTCAAGATTATGGAGTAGTCAGGGATTTCTTGGAGGATCCACTGATCAAATATTTTTCCTAGGTACTTACAGGATGAAATTGCATTATATAATAATTGGTGGAAGAAAGGAACGAAATTAGAGGGCTTGCAAGCTTCCAAATCTGGCCAGCTGACATGGGGACATCTCAGAAGACACAGAAATTGCCTCTATCTATACTATACCTTGTCTGGCCCTGGAACAGTGGGTAGGACTGGAGTTCAGTGTGGTCTGTCAATCCCCAACTGGTGTCCTGTTGCTTGGGACTGCTGCCAGCAAGTTAGAGCAACCATGGGGCTGTTCTAACTTGTGCAGCAGCAGCACAGACTGACCTAGAAAATCAGCTGTAAGCAGCTACATGACAGTCCCTCCTGCCCTGCATCAACTGGATCTTGGCACAGGAGAGAGTTTGAGCCATAGCATTTAATGTGTGGCATTCAAAACCATTAGCATACTTAGTACTTACAGGACCAGTAATAGCAGGGTTCTGCAATCTGGGGTCTTCCCACTGAGTAATTTTACTATCTGTAAATTAACAAAAGAAATCATACCATTAGTTCTTGGAAAATCATCCTTTAAAATGTTTTCACTTGCATCCCACCTCCCTGCAACATCCATAATTTAGTACTTCAAGGTTAGGAAAAAACTGCGTACACCCCATCCATTGAAACCCCATCACACTGTTTAGTTGGGAACACTCATTCAAAAATGCAAAACTACCGTATAATCCAGTATACTCACACTGCTTTTGTTAAAGATCTATAGTGTCAATATTTAAATTATAAACCCCTTTTCTTCAGGGATTTATAACTTGAGCTTGAAATGCACTTAACTCAGATTAGGCAAACAAAGGTCTTGAGCCCAAAAGGTAAAGACAAGCAAAGAACCCCTTCAAATGCCAGATTAATTTTACTAAATTCAAACTTTTTGTGTGTTCTTGTGTAACTTTAAAACTATTTCCAATTAAAATGAAAAAAATTGATAAGAGCTCACACCATGATACGATCAAATTATTTTTATAAATTTAGAATAACTAAGAAACAACAATTTTAAAATAGGACCTGAAATGGAACTCGGAAGAAATTCCCTCCATTCCAGAAAGACACACAGACCCTAGCTACAGATTTTACAAACAGGTTAAGAGTGCACATTTTTGCCTTCCCTTATGAAGTTATGGCACAAGGGAAGCATATTCAATTTTGACCAAAATGGCTCTTGCCAATGATACAATAGCAACACAATGTGTTTTCATTTGCAGATTTTTAGAGCACTGGTAGGGTAAATGATTATACGGTATTATAGTGATATTCTCCCTGCCTCCACACAGCATATTCCTGATAAAAATCTAAACACAGTAGAACCACAATGGAATGATGGTATCACAACAGTAAGACAATGCTCCAAAAACCAAGTAGGTACCATCTGCAATGGCAAAGTCTAAGTCATCAATTTTCTGCCCTAGTAGTGGAATAACAATCCTTGTATTATGCGTACTGCTATGCTTTACAATTTGTATAGTAACAACTGTGATCAAGTGCCTCCCACCCCACATTTTTTTAAGTCCTCAATTTGCTTGCCTGAAAGATCTGTTGGTTTTTAATATCAATTTAATTTTAAAATGGCCAAAAAAATAGATTGGATTGGGAAAGCTGAAGTTTAAAATAACGTTTATCAAGAAAGTGTTGAGAGAATAAAAAAAGGTTAAAACTGGCAATTTTCTTATTTGTTAACAATTAATATTAAAATGCTGTTTTTGTATTTCTCTTTATGCATCTGAAGTGTATTTAATGCTTATGGAAGGCACTGGAGACCAATGTCTTCCACACAGCCTGGGCAGATATAGCGAGTGTAGGTGGACAGAGACTACTAAATCATTGCACGCAGGCTGCCGAACAGCTTTCCGACGGAAAATGACATTTGGCCATAATACTGACCCAGCTGAACTTGAACCAGTCTTAGGGAAAGAAAAGCTCTGTATCTTATGACCAGTGCACTCCCCCTTTGAGGGCTGGGGAATTAAAATATTTATGTATCATCATTATTAAAAGGAATGTTTTAAAATTAATAATCACTTCTGAAATTTGAAATTTCTGTTTGATTTTTTTAATCTACTATTTCCACAAGTGACATCCAGGATTACTACAACTGAAAGTCTATTTTTCTTTTATTAGTTTATGCTGAGCATTTGATAGCACTCAGTCTTGTTGTTCCCCAAGAGTCAGTTTCTCTGCTGTTTGCACAAGCCTTTTGTACCGTAGTAGGGGAGAGAAAAACATTAACCAAATAGGATTACAGAGCTGGAGAATCACAAAAATTATGGGGGAACCAGGGCATGAATAGTAGCTGAAGCTATTAACCCTTTAATAACGTTGGCTGGATTTCAAGTTGATGGTGTATCATTAATTTAAATAATCACAATTTTTACACAGAAATGTTTTAGCATGATGTGGTACTTGTAGCAGGGCTGCTGCTTACTGATCTGTCTCTCGTGGCCAGATATCCCTTTGCAGCAGCCTCACTCTGTTGTCCTTCAGAGAGATCGCTCCTGATTGGCTGAAAGAGCGGGGAGCCTTGTCCCACCCTAGAGGGCTCCTGATCGCAGGCTCTTAAAGGGTCAGTTCTGGGTTTTCCACCCATCTGACTTCCAATTCCTCAGGAGCGCTTCCTTTCCTCCACTACCAGGCCATTTCCTGGGCCTTTGTTCATTCCAACTCCCTGAATGGGGTCTTTTGGCCCCCTCTTCTCTTAGAAGGCAAGCGTTGCCAACCCTCCAGGATTGGCCTGGAGTCTCCAGGAATCAGCATCGATCTCCCAGTGACTACTGAAAGCAATCCAGGAGATTTTAATAGGGTATTTTAAGAAAAATGACATCATATCATGTTGGTGGAAAAATAGCTTCAGTCAGAGTTGGCAACCCTATAAAAGGCCAGTATATCCCATTATAGTTCTTTAATAACTAGCCACTTTAACTGACAAAGGACTGCGAATACAGGAGATGCTGATGGTCAGTTGAGTGGCTAGTTAATGGGGTACATTGTACATGCATCCGAAGAAGTGGGCTGTAGCCCACGAAAGCTTATGCTCAAATAAATTTGTTAGTCTCTAAGGTGCCACAAGTACTCCTGTTCTCATTGTACATACTGTTTCATAAACTTGTAATTGGGACTTATAAATTTATTAGTTTATTAATATATATGAAATAGGAATAATATTACCATATCCTTGCATTACTGCAATTGTGTATTGCATGAATACCATGTCATTATATTCCTTAGGAATATTGTGAAGACAGACACTACTATTAATATTGGGCAAGTCAAGTCATTGAACATTCTGCATTGTCTTTTGCTTAATATTGAGCATGAGGTTATCGCAAAGAAACTCAAACAAGTCCATTGTGATACCATTGATTTCACCCCTGCTGCTGGTCCACTGTTTACCACAGTGATGTAACAATGTGAGAACAAGGGTGTTTTCTGGAAACAAGTATCACCAGGAAAAAATTGCTTTTTGCAGTTTGCCATCCACAAAGCCAAAAAAACCCTGCGCCTCAGGAGAGGGAATTGAAGAAGAAATTTCAAATAAAAAAAATGTAAAATGTTTAACAATTCGACTAGAAATCTGACTAATGTATACATTAAAATTTCCCTCTATATTGAGACACAAACGTATGCTCAAATAACTTTAAGGGTCTGGCGAATTAAACTATTGAAAGACAGGGAATTACAGCCAGTGTAAATGTGACCCCTGTCTTAAATCAAGCTCTTTTCTTTTCTTGGACCCCTTGATAACAGGAGTTCAGGATAAATTACTAACCTTAACTGTAAGTTTCGAGACATTTGTTGGCTAATTAAAGTAATTAGTAAAAGTGCAAAGAGCACTAAGAATTCCATAGTAATATTTGGAACAGGTTAATCTTGTTCTCTGCAAAGAACGTGTCAGTTGAATTCCTTATTTAAAAGCAGGGTACCTCTTAAAAGCTAAGCATGCAATTTAAAAAAAATCACAATCTGCTTTACAGACAGTTTTTTTTAAAAGCAGAGAATAAGCATAGCAGTTAATACTACTGACACTAAAATAAAGTAAAAACCATAATACTGACAAACCGGTAGAATGGTTTAAGATTTTAATTTTCACAGGTTTTGTGCAGCTATCCTCCCCACTTCCAATTTTTATAAGGGTATTTCATGGTCTCTATATTTTTATGTGAGGATTATCCCCATTAATAGGAACACCTTTCAAATAAACCCGGCTGAAAGGTAAAAAAAAATCTTCTATTAGACTGCCACTTATATTCAAACAACAAAAATCCACACACTTGTTCTGAGATGCTGTAATAAGACAAGTCTACAATGAAACATCACTTACACTGGAACTTCAATAACAGAATTGGATAGATATTAACGGGCTGGGTGCAATAAAACATGCTACAAATAGAAAATAAGGTCAGAATTGGCATTGCCACAAGACCTTTTTAAGGAAGTGGGAGGGAAAATTACTTATCGGTGTTATTTCTTCCACTGCCTACATATGGACTTGTGGATATATCATCTTTTCTCATCTTATTTTCTATTCCTAGTGTGTATTTTAATTTATTAAATAAGTGCAAATAAGCCATGGGATCATCAACAACAACAAAGAATCCAAAATATCAACAAAAACAAAGAAAACCACAAAGAAGAAATGTTAATGCTTCACAAGATCAGAGAGGGACAAAGCTTGATGAGCCAATTAAAAGCAAGCTTTTGGTGAATATACAGTACCGTATGAGGGCACTAAGTCTCTGGTATCAATGTCTCCACATATCAACACCTGGCTTCCTAAATGAAGAGTAAAATTATAAAGCTTTCACTTCAATATTTATTACCTCCCTTTGTCTACTTGCAGAAGTACCTAGGTGCTTACTTACTATGATCTATATAAAATGTTCTTCCATCCAAATGGATTCTTTCCTCCCAACCAGGCTGGAAAAAAAAATGATAAAAGGATGTTAATTAAAATAGCATTACTGTATTAAGTGTGCACACGGCATAGAGAAATACATCATCTACGTTTACATAAACTAGTTCTTTTTTTTAAATAAGTTAGAAGGCTAACATCAAAGACCAAGAAGTTAGCAAGATTCAAAGAGGGATTGGATGTTTATATGGATAACAAGAGTGCTCAGAGTTAGAACAGTAAATACTAAAAATTTTGGGAAGAGATGTGAAACCTGCTGCTTCAGGGTTTAAGGCAATCGGTAAGTATAAAGGGTAGGAGGAGATCTTCATAAGGGGCGGATTATCCCAATAGCTACTTTATATCTGGTTTCTTGAACCTCTCTTTAAATCATAATGTGCTGGCCAATGTCAGAAACAGGACCCTGGACTAGAAGTTCCATGTGTCTGATCCAGTATGACGATCTTTATGTTCCTATCCTCCCACCATTAGAAGCAGAAGACTTTTAGTACACCAAGCACCATTCAAAACCACTATCTACTCCATGTACTACCCCTAAACCTACTCCTACTCCATGATGTACCTTCTACATCATCTTCAGCCTTGTCTACAACACAAAGATTAAAAGCAGATTGAAATTAAAAT